ATCGTTAGGTTTTGTTGTAGTGATCCACAAGATTCGATATTTTGCACAAATTAGACGCTGTTGATTGTGGTATATTATGTAGCTGCTCATTTCAGGCCAGATTAGGTCAGCTCTGGCCACCTTCGTGGAGTTTGTTAACATTAAAAATCATGCCATGACCAACAACTGAATACAGTGCCGTCATCATCTGTTTATTGCCTCAATTTTTCGCCCGTGTTTTATGTATATCCAGCGTCTAATCCCTAAAGAATGGTCGAGTAACATCATAAATCGAATAGAGCATTCTATGAATTTATAAATTGCATAATAGACAAAAATAATATTTTGCCAAAAAAGGAAGGCACTAGATTCTGATCTTTTTGAATAACATACAGGAATGTATTCTATTATATTTATGTATTTGTATAAATTACGTTATCACCGAGTTTCTGGATTTATAAAATAATATAAATGCGAACTACATTGCTCTAACGTTACACACAGAATGAGTTTATTGAATAATTTTAGCTTAATTCCAACCTATGGAACCGCACTATAAGTTCCTACACAGAAATTCCAATTGAAACACACTGCTGCTCTGCTGAGTCGTTCAGGTCCGAGGTCCACGATGGTGATTCTTCGTCGTTCTTGTTATATGCTGCGTCGTCAACTACGTGAATGTAGTTGCTACGTGCTATCGATGGTGGTGATCGTCGATGTTGAGCTTAAAATCCAATGCAGTTCCAATACTGTTAAATGTGAAAATGTTATACATATGAGAAGTAACTGAAATAATTGTATTGTATTTCTTTTTAAATATGTTAGTAAAAGAAACAACATAAGTATTGGTACCATGTTAAATATATTACTTAAATTCTCTTTGGACAAAACGTCGAGTGCTATCATTTGACAAACGATATTTGCTCGTTGTAAGCAACCATAAAAAGGTTGATTTCTTAACAACTTTTACTGTTCCAGTGCAGTCTCGAATTCGGAAACAGTATTTACCTCCAACTGAACTGCTCTTCAAATTTAGAGAGTCACTGCAATTAGGAATCAATTCTCCTGCATCATAAATTATGTTATTATAATCCTCATTATCTTCCGGATCATTCTGATCTTCTGTTTCACTTAAGAATGCATCTTCTATTTCATCAATATTAACCTCCCTATCCATGTTGTCACCTCCAGTTCCAAGTTCTTCATGATCTTCCATGTTAAAATCTTCAGCTTCCACATTTACGAATTCTATGTCTTCTGGTGCATTCATTTGGAAATTGATTGAATCAGTCATATTTATATCTCCATCATTGATTCCTATTTGTAACAAGGCGACACGAGCTGTTTTTTGAGCTTTTTCAATTGTTTGTATTATGCTCTCATCAGAAGGAAGAATGTGTGCCTCTCTTCGCTTATTTTGTAGTCGTTTCATGGATGGAAAATTTATGTATTCTTTACGAGTATGCATTATTCGCATTTTAGTGTGAATTCTCTTTAATTTCTCCGTCAGCTCTTTTGCAGTAAAGTTGATAACCGTTTGTTGAGTAGTACCCATTGACCGTAGCTGTCGAAATAATTTTTCGCACGGTTGGCTTGATAAATAAGATACAACAAATTGCTCAGGAGCATTACTGTTTCGACAATTTTGCATGAACATGATGAGGCTATGGGCGTTTAGTTCCAAACAATGATAGGCATTGGTTGACACACAAAGCTTGACATTATTGTAATGATCCTTCAACCAATTTCTCCAAGCACGTACAATAAAATTAGCTGTCCTGAAATACATAATAATTGTAACGAGTCAAAAATGTGTTGTAAAAAATCAGCGTCTATTCGAATACATACCACAAATCGTGTATTCGTTCTAGGGGAGAGATGTCATCTTCGACTAAAGATCTATACATAAGTCTCATCAAATCCAAAAACAATACTGTTCCAGTACTCTGCAGAATATTGGACTTCAGATTACTGATCGTTTTTGGGTTGATCCACTTCAATATTGGTCCAAACTTCATTTTATCTTTAATCTCTACATCTGATAAGCAAAGAAGATGATTATCTTTACTATGTTTTTGAACAAGTTCCTTCAGGTGCATTGTTGTGATGATATAATTTCCTAATGAAAAAAATGTTTTTAAACTTAAGATGTACCTTATAAAATTAAACGTTTTACCTATTTTGAGGTCATTCCTAACTAGTTTATTCCGGAACTTGTTAACTGTATGCACCATATCTTGGATGTTGACTGGCATTCCTTCTACCTAGTCAACCCGAAACCACCATCCCCAAGACGATGCTGTGGCTTCTTTATCTAATCCACACCGTAACTTCATAGCCTTTAACAAGCGAGGATCACCGTCAGATGCGTGTGCGACAACTTTAATGCCTTCTTGGCGTAGCAAATCTTCCGTGCGCTTCCATCTATTCAAAACATCATGGTATCCGAATTTATTATCTGAGCACGCGTGGTATAATACATACGGTGCTGCCTCGTTAACTAGCGGCAGTGCGAGCTGAATGTATGCGTAGTTTCCAAAAGCATAACTTTTTACATCCTCCATCATTTTTTGAGGTGTTGATGCTTTGAACAAGTGTTGCTTAGGCAACCCGTCCGAATCGAATGGTGCAACCAAGCCTCTAATTGAATCAGTCATATAATCATATTCCGTGGCTGCGGTTATTCTTGTAGCATCTTCACACAATGCCACTACCAAGGGATAATCGTTGTCTTCAAGATACTTTTTCAACCCAGCGATGTCTAAGCATCCCTCAAAAATATCAAGCGTGTATTTTCGAACATGCCGATGGATTGTTTTCTTTGACATTGTTGACATATTCATAGAAGTTTATTCGTAGTATGAATTACCAGCTGTGAGATATTCAAACGCCATAATGTCCTTTTCTATATCGGTATACCTTCTAGCATGTGGGTTTGATCCACTGATTCTATTATGCATAGAACTTATTGCCCGGAAAAGAACGGTATCGTTTGAGCTTTGATCAATGGAATTGTTGCTACAATGTTCACTTTCTAGAATAATAAACTTTGTTTATGCCTGTATGTGTTTAAATTTTATTGTTTTTAAACCATACCTATTTCGATGAATGATTAAACAATTCAATTTCTACCGGTGCAACGGTAGTTGTATCGATACTAACTGGCTCAATGGTAGTAGCTGAATCTACGGCTGTTGTTTTATTGCGGTACCTTTTGCTCAGATGAGCCGAATCGTCTCTTTGATTTCGCTTTCGGTTGGGTGTTATGTCAGCTATCCGGAAATGTGAATTAAAATGCCCCCAGGTCATACACAAACTTCACCTCCTCTACAAGCAACTTACAAATAAAAAATATAGTGATAATAGCTCATAGTTTCATTGTTTCGAAACGTAGCATTTTGGCTGTAATGTGCATTTGGAACACTGTTTATAAAGATCGTCATGTGAATCCTCCCATATCAATTTTTCGAGTAGAAATACTAAAACTTGGAGGTTTTCACTTTGAATAACGTAGACGTAACATTTGATCCACTTTGCATACTTTTATGTGATACGTTCATTATGCGAAATGTCCATTATGCCAAGTGTCCTGATATGAAATGTTCTTATGCACAACGTCTTTATGGGAAATGACCCATTCCGATCTGAGCCTCTGGTGGTGGTCAGCCAGTCAGCCATAGGGAGAAAACAATCAACGGTAGGCACAGTCAGTAGCCAGCGAGTGTCGTCGTGAAGAGGAAACACGTTTGCTGCCACGACATGACTGACTGGATGACACAACAGAGCCGTAGCAGAGTGTTGCAATAATGGATGCAAGCAGTTTGTGGTTCTACAGCATCTGGACGCATGGGTGGCATTGCATCTGTCTGCTCGCTGGGCGGCTGGGTTGACTTCGACGTTGACCACATTTAATATCAGACCGTCAATTGTGAACCAAGGGCTATAGCATGTACCGACATTATGGGTGGTATTCAATAAGCCTCAGGAAAAACAAAACTGATGATGAATTTAGTGTAGCAGTATTGGAAAAAAATGCTTTACTGAGTAACACCTAATCAGCGATCCATCTCACGCGAAATTGAGGTAAAACTATGCCCTCCCCTCCCATTCGTCTCATTTTTCCTCTACCTTATACGTGGCTTATCAAGTGTTTATTTAACCCTCCCCCTCCTTTCCCTTTAATGTATGGTTGACATGGAAGACAAGCACTATTAAACCCTGGGAAATACCAAGAAATTTGAAGCACCATTCATTCTCGTCGATAGCTGTCCGGCATTTCATCCAAACTTCTTCCATTCCACATTAATTGGAATTTATGTTTCAATCAATTCTCATTCAATCTCCGTTCAACCCTGTGCCGGATAGCTGTTTCACGCCAACATCGTTGACATCGTGTTCTGGGAAGGACCTACCTCTTTCCCAATTCTGTGGTCACTCACGAAATTTACCACCCCGTAGCAGGAGCAACAGAAGTAGCAGTGACTACGAGCTTTGGTGAAAGTTCATACATCAAACCATTCCACATTCCTCCCTTGAACCATAGGCGGAGCAAATTTACCACACTCTTGATTGGCATCCTTGTGTTCGTTATATCCTGGGCTCGGTGTATCCCTAACGTACCTATCGATTCGTTGGCACTTTGTGTGTGAAAATTACCGTAAATTAAAAAGGATGTCTTTCCGAGCGAGAGAGGAAATGGATCGGCTTTCAACCTGACAGGACGACCGACCGTTTCTGATGGTAAGTTCAATCGTTCTATCTGAACTTCAACAGGCTCAACTACATGGCTTCACAAAGGTAAGTGAAAATTAGAAACCACCAAGTCACGCTTTACTTACTCCTATGTAGACTTCAATCACGTTTGATTTTGCCTTTCATCATGCATGCTTTTGCTTTCCTGGCATCAGATCTGAAGTACGAGTGATTACCATGCTACATGGTTTGAGAGTGTTAGTTCATTAGACTCTACGCTGGAAAGGTTGTTTGTTAATTTTGAATTTCTTGTTTATTTTATTCGCTAGCTACACATTCCGCAAGGTTGCGTGGTGAAAAATATCCGAATCAAGCAGAAACTTGCTCGACTGCGTCACCAGCAGCAGGTTCTGCAGAGACACCTGCAGGAACTCGAGGAGGCCCCCAATCCGGATCCTTCGGCTATCGAGCAGCACCACAAGCGCTATAGTGAGTATTTTTGAATAAGTTGAACGTTTTTGATGACGGCACGAATCGAACGTGCATTTATTTTGCCATGCTACAGCTTGGTGACTTGGTGAAATGGGAGCGAAACATCGCTTGAACTGTTACTGCACTCATTGGCGGTACCTAATCAAATCGAGTGACCATTTCTTTCGCCAGTCCCAGAAGTGAAGTCACCACGCTTCGGGCATACCAAATTGGTAGGTTTTGAAAATAAATGCTCGTCGATTTGATGGTGTTTATCGTACGGGACCGGGAATATTTCGGAGCCCGTCTGTCTTATGCAGAATGTATTTGTAAACAAAGATGTACCGTTATGTTTACCCGGATTCCGTAGCCGTTATTATAACACCTGGTGTTTGGTCATAAAGATAACATTTGTTGTCAGTATCCTTACTACCAAAGATCTGGCAGCTACGAATAGGGAAAAAAGAATACTGGTTAAAACTGTACACGGATTTTGGGTTGTTTTCCATGAGTGGGAGTTTCGGTCCTGCACGATAGCCACCAGAATAGTGACTGGATAAATTAATGAGTTTAAGAGAAGGAAACACGCCTGTAATCCATGCCTGTTTGCCAGAGTTTATTGAAGTTTTGAACTGGTCAACTTTACACTTTGATAAAAAGACTGAAATCTATTTTCGTTCATTTTATTCTTTAATCACTGTCATCATCTTCCATCTTCAAAAGCATTTTAACATCGTGCTTTCGTTCTGTTTCCTTTCGATACCCTGAAATTATGGGATCCGAAGAAACTAGTAAGCCGTTAAATACATCTTCCCAATTTGCCACCCGGGAACATTTACGAGCATGATCCTTTCTCAATCGGCGTATCTCCTTATTCATGTGTTCCTGTGCTTCTTCAAACATTCGACCAATCGGATGCATAGCTTTATCGATGATTTAATGCCCATGTATCAGAACTTTATGCAGTGTTGTTGGCATTCGGTACCATCCATACAAAGACATATAGCTGTGCTGTTTCGTAGACAAAGCTTTCGAATTTATTCTTATCGATTTCTTCACAGGATGAGATGGCAATTAATACTGTTTGCCACCGTTTTATAAATTCTTTGTTGATACCTGTAATAGCTGCGGAAATATCAGCGCTCGCAAAAAACATTGCTGTTTCCACAACTCGCACGAGGTTTATCGACATGAAGGCCCAACTTTTGCTGAATGCGCAACTTTGTTGCTGTGAATTCAGCCTCATCCCCCGTTTTGCACCATTTCATGAAGTCGATCCTATATGCAATATGTCGCATGCATTCAAGTGTTCGGATCCAGCAATGAAGCGAACTTATACCATTCTGGAGCCGTTCTACTTGAATTTTTCTGGTCTTCATGTTATGAATGCCGTTAAATGCCGCCGAGGTTGCTCCGCAGAGGTAACATCTCTGTGCAGATGATGTGTTTGTAATTACGCTCACCACCTTCCCGTGCACCATAGTCATCGAAAGATAATACTTAATTTTCAGTTCAATCCCATCCAGTAAATATGTGAATTCCGATAAGCTGTTAATCTCGGTGGGCATTTTTTCATGTTCCTCTCGAGTCGTATTTGCAGTTTCCCTTTTGAACTGGAGAGAAACTGGCCTACAATAGCGGGTTGATGACGGTCTCGGGTTGTCCCATATTATAACATCCCCTGAAGCAAATCTTAGAGGTACAATGGATGTTAAAAATGCATGACTATCGAATGAATCAGAATTAGAGAATTTTTGTTTATATTCTGGAATTCCCTGGAACAAATGAATACAAAAAAGGGGGCAACTTCAATTCATAGTGTATGAGTTCACACTAGACTGATGCAAAATTTGAAATTTTTGCTCCACAGTGCTCAAATGGTTCCAAATTGGGCCCTGATTAGCCTCCCAAAATTTGAACTCATTTAGTTAAAAACTGACTTGGCACAAACCATTTGAAGTTTATATGGGAATTACTATGGAGAAACCATAATTTCGGTTCATATCTATCTCAATATTCACCAGTTCACTCTACTTTAAAAAATGACAGCTGAGCTTGTTGAAAATTTTCTCAGCTACATTTTTGTTCAAGACCACTTTTCGGTCATATGTAAGGAACAAAAATTATTAATGATTCAAGTCACTGATGTCTTATGATTATGCTCAATCAACTGTTCAGTAGGAAAAATGGTGTTTCTGGGGCGTTTAATAGAGCACACACATCATGGCTACTATTTCACACTGCAGAATTCAGTGTTGCCCACAATACAGTTGCTTAATCTTGCCATAAGATTATCAATCTCTTAAACAATTAACAACTATGTTTGGCTGAAAAATTATGTTCTGCAAAGTTGTAGCTAATAAAATTCCCATTTGAATAGTAAAAGAAATTGTTAACAGTACAATATGTAAAAAGGTTAGAAGGCAATGAACAAAAAGTTTTGTTTTCTAATATTAATTTCCATATAAACTTCAAATGGTTTGTGCTAAGTCAGTTTCTTATCAAATGAGTTTAAACTTTCGGAGGCTAATCAAGACCCGATTTGAAACCGTTTGAACACTGTGGAGCAAAAATTTCAAATTTTGCATCAGTCTAGTTCACACCATTAGTCATCGATTATGGATTGATGTTATGAGTTCGATCCAGTTAAAAAATATTCCCATACATTTTAATTGATTCCCGGCTCGATAACAACGATCGCGCGTAATCTATTGTTCGGTTAGTGTGGAAGGGTATTTATTTTATTTTTATTCATATTGACACATGATTTATTTAGAGGAAGAAAATAGATGCCGCTATCGCGAATTAGATTTGGTTTTGTTTATAAAAGTTGACTAATCCTGAGTGCTGTTTTGTACCTTCATGTCTCTTGTACCTTCATGTCTTTTGTACCTTCATGTGCTGTTTTGTACCTTCATGTCTCTGAGTGCTGTTTTGTACCTTCATGTCTCTGATTATCGGTCGCAGTGATTTATTGTCATGTCAGCTCGGTTGTCTAGTGCCAATTCTCAGATCGCATTACTGTCCAAACTTAGTTCAGATCTAATGTACTTTTTCAATCTAACCATAAATTCAAATAACATTTTTTTAAATTTTTGTCTATCAATCGGAAAAAATACCGGAACAAAACCAGAAATTTTGTTGCATCCTTGACACATATTGATAACCTATGTTAGTCCTAATTTATTTATAAAATTTATCCTGGTCTAGTATTTTAGATATTTTGTTCCATATTTAAAAATCTGGATGATTTCTAGAAGTGGCATAGTTTTGAAATGATTTAATCAAGATCTTTGAAACATGATCTTTAAAATTTATCCAAGTCTGATCTTTCACAAGCCAAATGGCAAAAAAACCGACTCGAGCTTCTCCGATTGGCATGAAATTTTGTTGTGCATCCCAAGTAACAGTTTAGCAGCCTTTTGGATTTTACACTGATTCATTGTTGTTTAATAATGGCAGTAAGTAATCTTTTTAGTTTAAATACAGCATTTAGAAGTGCAACGCGTTCTTGGTCAGTAGTTCAGCATTTTGCTGTTTTAAAAACCTTTTAAAGTCTGACGATAAAGTCAAAACGGGTCTTATTTAAAATAAAAATGAATTTAAAGCAGCACTTTATCCCTGTATAAAACTGTTAAGTTAGTCAATCTTAAACCTACTCGGTATTTTATTATTGATGCCACGACAAAATACTCCATAAAGGTATTTTATCACTATATAAGCAATTATAAAACCGTTCGGTTTCAAACGGGAACAAAAAGCATATATTGCTGCTTTACGGTGTCAATAAAGTGTATCACAAAACTCCCTAAGTTTACAAATTAAACTAAAAATATGGATCCACCTTGAGACAGAGAAAAAATAAATCGATTGGAGCTTTTAAACGAAGAATCACAAGAAAATGCCAAAAGATAGTCGAACAATAATACTAGCGATAGTAGAAGGTAGCGATGCTATCGACGGAAAGGAAAAGGACTCCAATTCCAGAACTTCCTGGAAGGCCCAGCAGCTCTGACTGAACCGGTCAACAATGACAGAGCAGCCGACTGAGAAGAGTGAGTGAATGCGGTTCACGAAGCACTGGAAGACGCTTAAAATTGATGGAAATACCCAAAACATTGTCAATGACGTTTGCGACACGATCTGAATAAACACAGACCAGAAATCGCGTTTCGATGATGATTCGAATAACATGCATCAGTGCCAAACTGGGACTGCGGAAAACTACCGACAGGAAACTTCAGAAGCTGTCAGTCAGCTGGAAACTGACTACCTACCGAACCATAAAAGGATCAACTGTTTCAAAAAATTCAAGCAAGCGCACATTTACTTACTCGGATCATCTGGGAGAAGGAAACCTTTTTGGGAACGATTGAGCTTCCACCTGTTCCAAGTTATGCAGATACACTTCCTGATTAGCTGCTTCCAATGGATGATAATCGCCCTTATCGAGGATTCTACGCAACTTGTTGATCCAACGCAGGAGTAGAAGCTCGGTGCAATGATTACGCAACAAAACTATCGAAATGTAAACAAAATTTGACGTTTAACTTTTTCCAGGCACCAATAATGTCGTCATAAAGGGCGAACACGAAATTATTGCGACACATTCAACAGGGCATAACTTTTTTACCATTGTGTAAAAATCAACCAAATTTTGCACACTTTCTCATTGATGTGTATTGTGTACATGCTGTCAAACTCGAAGTCGTGTTTTTCGATTCAACGAAAATGGATTTCCAAACACCTGGAATTTCCTGACCTGTCGCACCGGCAGTTGGGAAAAATGTTGAACATTCACCATTCAACCGTCTCCAGAGTGTTGAAGCGGTTCCAGGAGCGGTTGACGTTGGACCACGGCAAAGGAGCTGGAAGAAAACCGGGACCGGAGAACAAAAAGACGGAGGGAAAGGTGAAGCGGATGATTAAAGCAAATCCCAACGTCTCAAGCCGTGATTTGGCTAAAAAGATCGGCATGTCGCAGAGCTACGTCCAGAATGTAAAGAAGAGAGCTGGACTACATACATACAAGGTACAGAACTTCCCAAACCGCGATGAGCGGCAACAATCGACGGCTAAAACTCGGGCACGGAAGCTCTACGAGAAGATGCTGACAAAATATGGCTGCTGTGTGATGGACGACGAAACGTATATAAAAGACGATTTTAAGCAAATTCCGGGGTTGGAGTTTTTCACCGGCAAGAGCAAGTTCGATGTGGACGACAAATTTAAGAAGAAGAAAATGTCGAAGTTCGCCTCCAAATATCTCATTTGGCAGGCCATCTGCTCTTGCGGACTGAGGAGTGAGCCTTTCGTGACAAAGGGCACAGTGAATGGCGAGATCTACAAATCTGAGTGCCTCGAGAAGCGCCTTTTGCCGTTCTTGCAGCAGCACGACGAAGCTCCGCTATTTTGACCAGATTTGGCATCATGCCACTATTCTAAAAGTGTCCTGGAGTGGTATGAGGACAATTCTGTCCATTTTGTTCCAAAGGACATGAATCCGCCAAACTGTCCGGAGCTGCGCCCGGTGGAGCAGTACTGGGCAATAATGAAGCGGGAACTTCGGAAGAGCCAGAAGACAGTGAAAGACGAGAAGGACATGTTAAGAAAATGAAAAAAAAAACTGAGAAACTGGTACCGGATGACACTGTAAAGACTTTGATGGAGGGCATCAAGCGAAAATACGTTCAATTTTACACTCAAGGCTCCATCGATTAACTTTTCTTTTGATTTTTGAAGTAAATATATGTATAAAACTACCCTAAAATTTTGGTTTGATTCTAAACATTATAAGAAAATTGGCATGACATTTTCGTTGTCGCAATAATTTCGTGTTCGCCCTTTAAAACTAAACGGAATAGGATTAAGCAAAATGACCTCAGATAAATACAATTGAGTCTGCAAATTATCTTCATTAAAGCCAAATTAAAACGTTTTGTATTTGTTAGCGATTTCATGAAAACAAAATAACTTTTTCGCAATTGGCCTGTAGAAAATAAATTTTTATTCCACCGCCATATTGCTTTTACTACATTTGTTTTTCTACTTTCTTCATTTTTCAAGATTTTTTTTTCCATGAAAATAACTTTAATCTCATAAATTCATCACTGAGCAGTAATAGAGATTCCGAAAATTCGTTAAATTGAATTTCCGAAGGCGAACTTTTATTTTTCGAACCACATTTCACATTCGATCTAATCTGTCAACTTAAAATAGACCACATAATGAGAAATGCTTTGATAATTTTGGTAATTCTTTCACATTAGCTGAGGAAATAATAAATAAATTTGGCAAGATCTGATGATATTTATGTATTCATTTTTATCTTGACTGATGCTTTATTCTTACTGCAGTTAGCAAGCGTCAAAGGCAAATAGCACAAGTATTGATTTGCTTATCCTTGACAGATACGCGTATTTCGTCTACAATGTGCAGACTTCTTCAGTGTCTTGTACTAAATCGAAAATACTAACAAGTATTGATGCCAAATGACTTTTATTGAAGTTTTCATAAGGATTTCAGATGGGTTTCAATGCTTTCGTCGTATAACCTTTTTGCAGCAAATAAATCTTGAAGTGACTCGAAAATATGCTCTTCAAAACCTTCTTGGGGGTTGGCCAACTAGACAGATTCTAGTCTTAATGAGGTTTTGGCGGATGTAATAAAGGCAAAGCCGTCTTGACTAGGGTTTTATGAATGTTGTTTTATAGAAGCCTTGTAGTATTTCATAAAACGTAAAATGTTACTTGGGATATTTGTTTGTTATGGCCAATCATTCACATTTGAGCAACACTTTCTAAAAGTGTAGGTTATTCTTGCGCTGAGTGACCTACGATTTTAGAAATGTCTCCTTACGAATGAGTAAAAGTTACTCACTATTTGAGGTTGTTTCGTTTGCAGTGTGCAACCCATTATTAGCACTCGGCAGTCAAACGATGACTACAGTAAAATTTTCTCCGTTTCCTTTAAGCATTTAGATTAGCATTCTACGATCCAACTTTTTTTTGTATTTTACTGATGTATACCAGTAGACTGATGAATAGAGAAAAAAAACAAAGAAGAAAAAAAAATACTTAGTGGTACCGACTCGTCTCTTTGTTCTATCGATAATCAAAACGAGCGAGCATGGGATTGGATGATTACAACTAAAAAGTTTGATCAATTTTCATAAAATAACCATTGATAAACAACTAATCGTTTTTATACCAAACAAATGTTACATTAAATCTGAATAAAATGGTTTAATTGAAATTGAACTTCACTCATAAATGACTATGTTAGAAGCGTTCAAAACCTGACACTATTTTGTCACACATTTTTTTTTTTATTTGCACCCTAGTATAGTCTACAACGACGTAGTCCTACGTCAAAAGGCCAGTAAGTCGATTTCGCTTGCGCATGCAACGATAAGTGCGTGTTTTGGTGCTCATTTTAAAAAAAGTTAACAATTATGTCTTAATAGTCATAGGTTGAAAAACTGTTTATAAATTTAAAGAAGAATATGGAGTCAAATAAATATGCCCCGTATGTCAATTAGGAGCAATAGTGGATTTTTAACTCCATTTAAAAAAGGAATGTTACAATATTCAGAAATTTGTTTACACTAGCTTAAACATCGAAAATAAAACATGTGCAAGTTTTGCGCTCATTAAAAAAAATCAAAAGTTGCATAATTCGAGAATTTTTAGATCTTTCGTGAAATTTTGAGGTACACACTTAGAAAAATTCATGTAATTTAGGTGCTCTGAGACTGACATATACGAGCGTCTATTTTGACATAAAAATAAGTCATAATAGACGTGAAATTCAGCTCAATTAAACGTACTTTTCATCGAGTAACGAACTTTTAAGTCTCGGATTACTTAATTTTACATGACTTAGGTTATTTTACAAAATTAGGTATTTCTAGAAAAGACTCAATCCATAGGTACATACCATAGCATGCACCGAATGAAATTGTGCGATAATTATTCCTTTATCCAATTACCTAATTTAAAAAAAAAAATCATTTTGGGATTTCACCGACAGACAACTTTAGTCCTGTTTGTCCCTTTAATCCCCACTGTGTGAGGGGATGTCTTTACAAATTCTTGCTTTTTTCAAATTATATTAACATCAATTTGTAATACATTTGCAGATAACCTCCTCCGGTACTATTCCTCATGGGACAACGCAAACAGCCAACTACAGGAGCAGCATCACCAGGAAGAGAACTCGAACTATCACTCAGCACAAACGACGCCACATCCTCGAAGATGGATCAAGAAGCGTAGCAAGGACATCAATGACAAAGAAGATGCAGAGCTGCATGATGCAGATGCTGACAACCACTCCAGATAAAACTGCTGCCGCTGCTTGCACACTACAGTATAGTGGCAAACCTTGAACCTCTCGAACTTTCAATATCTCATCCGATATCTACCTCCAGCCAGCCGGCAGCCACATTTTTGCTGACTAACAACACGTGCGCTAGCATGCCGGATAGCGAGGAATGCAAGCGAATATGTATGTGCTTAAATACTTGACATTTTTCATAATACCTTCTTTTATAGTGCTTTTTTCCCTCGTAATCGAAACGAATCGGTGCTGTGCTTGGGAAGAGTGTGGAGGTGTAAAACCTTGAATCGAAGAAGCTTTGTTTAGGGATCAACGAGAAACTATCTCTCTCTCTCTCTTGACCAGCTCCTGTACTGGCACTGATAACGATAGATAGCAGGAGGAAGAGAAATAAAATATTCGAATAAAGGAGTCCGGGTTATAAATCAGAAAAAAAAGAACAGCAGTAAGCAGGAAAAAGATGAATACTGGAAGACGAGCAATAACAATAAAGAAAAACGAAGTCGAGAGGATCGCCTTCCCCATCGAGATGATAATGCTGATGAAGGGCTTTGCTTTGTGTGGCCCACCCATTTCACTCACCGTGTCGTATAATTTCACCTCCCATGCCGAAACTGAACTGACTATGACTTCTGGCAAAAAAAAAAAAGAAGCTCAACAAGAATCCGGAAGAGGGATAAGGGTTTAATAAATATCGGAATTGGAACGACAAAAAATTGAAGCTCTAGAATTTTTCAGCTCCACTGCTGCTTCAGAGAAGGGTGAGTGAGTGTCTTGCTTTTGGGGATGGTGGTCTGAGATGGGGTTTCCAGCTGGTTCCACTCTCGGGATGAAAAGAAAAAAAAAAAATGATCATATTATGACAGTAATGTCAATAATTTTTCTCTAATAGGATTATTTTGCATTTTTTCGCTGAAAAGTGGGAAGGGAAATTGGTTTCAATTAGGGTAAGAAAGTTTCTGGAAGGATGGTAATAAGGTTTTTATTTTCACTTTGTAAATGTTCTTGAGTGGAAAAGATGGCCACGAATCCAATTAAATGGATCAATTTTCTGTGTAGATGAATTGGATTGAATTAACTACTAATTATAGAATATTCATAGGCTATAATTAGAACATAACATTATTGCCTTACACCAAATATATTATATTAACAATATGATCCACTCTTTCGCTTAGCTGGCGAACCAAATTTTTAGTGATGAAAGCACCTCTGTGGCCAAAAAGGCTACCAATGTGTTTGTTTATCGTCACGAGGGGTAAACCAAATGAAAATTTGTTTAATATTTCAAATGAATGTATTTCAGTAAATTATTTTATTTGATGACAACAGTGACATGTCAGACAAATTTTAAAGTAATATACACAATGTAATTAATGAAAACAACGTGACTCTTACTTTTGTAATAAGTGCTATATTCACACCCCTCGATTGTAATTGAATAATTGTTGCTGACCTTTTTCAACGCTAGATGGTGCGTGAAGCAATATTTTGCGGGTCGCCATTGCAACATTTGGAAAAGGCATGAATGGATCATTTTGTTAATATGATATATTTGCTTACACCCTGGCACCCTACATATCTTTTTTATAGTATGAACACCCGCCCCGCACCGCTGATGTTAAAACTGGGTGGGGGTTCTAATGAATGTTTGAGAGGAAGGGCATTTTCTTCCGACCAAATTCAATATTATGCGCTTGGCTACCTAAGTTCAAATGAGTGCCTGTTCAACATATTGTATAAATAGTATTGTCAATGCCAGCCTTGAAATAACTCAAGTTTGAATGTTTTTCCCATGTCCTAGAATGTGGATACCTTTTTTTTAGGGTGAAATCTGTATCAATTCCCAATTTGTTTTGAGATTTAGAATTTTTCAGATTTGCAGAATCATTGCTACTTCACTGTCATTACTAATTCGGTTACTTAATATTAAGGATTCACCAATAGGACCTCAAACCATATGAACTTCACGTACTGCTAAAAAACATTTGAGTGACTCCAGTGGTAGACAATGAGCACACAAGAGCCATCTGAATGACAGTAGATGAAATATGCTTGTTTATTATGAACGGGAAATTTTTCCTGTGTTCAGGGACTACGCCACTTGCTGAGTACGGTGTTGGCAGGTAGCGGTTATAACGCTACCTGTCAACACCGTATTCAGGAAGTGGCGAAGGTGGCATTTGCCACCTATCAATTCAAGAATGGCGGAAAAATGCTCAAATGTTCATGGAACATCTACAAAGCTGCCTTATCTTTATTTTTCAAACATTTCTCAACTTCTACGAAGCTTCATTAGCTTCTTCCAAGTAATTTCAAACCAACCAAGATCTCACAACATTTATGACCTTCTTCAAATAAATATTTTTGAATTTTCCTAAAATTTGTGTGAAACAAAGCTCCGAAAACATCCAGTAAGTTTCCAAATCAAACCATGATGTTCTAAAAAACATGCTAAATTTTTACAGTACTCCGTGAGCTTCTGAAAAATTCCCTGAACTTCTGCGAAAATCATTTAGCTTCTACAATTCTGGCTAAACTTCTGCGAACTTCCTCGATCTTAAAATAGAACTCACCACTTCTATGAATTTTAATGGAGTTAATTGAATTGCTACATACTTCGCAAAGTTCTCAGATTTTGAATCATGATCGCTGCAGTTCTGCAAAGTTCCCTGAACTTTTTAGAATTTCGTTAATTTACTGCGACAGAGGTGCCGGTGGTTTAGTGGTAAGCGTGATTACCTCTCATCCCAGTAGGCCTGGGTTTAATCCCAGACGGCACCGCCGGGATGTTCTGAGGCATAACATCTCTGATCACGGGGGAAGTAAAGCCGTTGGTCCCCGGTCCACGAGTTCATGAGTCGATAGCTAGGGTCCAGGTGTGGGATCTGCCTCCCTGGCGTCAGTAGCATTGGTGCTCAGCACGGAAAACAAGATCGACGGAAAACAAAATCAAGGAAAAAAAAAAATACTACAAAAATTCCTGAATTGCTGCAGCATTTGCTGATCTATTTCAAGTCCATTAAACTTTTATGAAATTTCTTAAAATTAAATAAAGTTCCATTAACTCCATCAAATATTTCGAAACTTACATACAGATCCCAATTCTACAAAGTTTTCCTGAATTTTTACAAAGCTCCCTGAATTTTTCTGAAGCTCTACGCAGCTCCACGAAGCTCCCTGAATTAAAAGTTAATTTCTTATATTTCTACGACGTCCACTGAATATCTACAAAGTCCCTGAAATTTAAAAAAAAGTCTCTAATAAAGTTAAAGGAAACCCCTCCTTGCATCAATCATATCTTTCGATGGATAATTCGTCGAACGAGGTTGAAGATATGATCACGGTGCTACAGTGGAACTGCCGTAGTCTAGTGCCTAAACTAGACTCGTTCAAATTTTTACTTCACAATTCTGATTGTGATATATTTGCTCTCTGTGAAACATGGCTTTCTTCCGATAAAGAACTCAACTTCCACGATTTTAACATTATACGCCTGGATAGAGACGATTCTTATGGAGGAGTACTTTTAGGGATCAAAAAGTGCTACCCTTTCTACAAAATTTCCCTTCCTGCTCTATCAGGCATCGAAATCGTCGCTTGCCAAATAAATGTGAAGAACAAAGATCTTTGCATAGCTTCAGAATACGTTCCACCAAGAACCTTAGCCGTAGTCAACTCTGGAATCTAGTTTCGATTCTTCCATCCCCAGTATTAATTCTGGGTGATATGAACTCCCATGGTACTGGGTGGGGCGATCTATATGACGACAATAGAGCGGCTATTTTTTACGATTTATGTGACGATTTCAATTTGACTATTTTGAACACTGGTGAAGCGACACGTATAGCAAAACCTCCGGCTCGAGAAAGCCGACTCGACCTATCTTTGTGTTCAAGATCGCTATCATTGGATTGTCAGTGGAAGGTTATCAATGATCCCCATGGTAGCGATCATTTGCCAATCATCATTTCAATAAAGTGTTGCCCTCACTCTGCAGAACCATCTCGGGTTCCATTTGATCTTACAAGGAACATCGACTGGCAGAAATATGCAACGGCGGTGACAATCGGTGTCGAATCAATAGATGCGCTTCCACCATTGGAAGAATATCGATTCCTAGCCGATTTGATTTACAAAAGCTCACTGGAAGCACAAAAAAGAAAAGTTCCAAGTGCACCCTTTAAAAGGAGACCAGCCACACCTGGTTGGGACGAAGAATGAACAAAATTGTATGTAGAAAAATCTGATGCTTTCAAAGCTTTTCGTAGACACAAAACCTCCACTTACTTCGAGGAATATTCAAAGCTTGAGACAAAGCTGAAACAATTAATCAAAGCAAAAAAACGCGGTTATTGGCGCAATTTCGTCGAGGGACTCTCACGAGAAACCTCAATGAACACCTTGTGGAGGGTGGCTCGCAACATGCGTAACCGCTCATCTTCTAATGAGAGTGAAGAATACTCCAACCGATGGATATTCGATTTCGCTAAAAAGGTCTGTCCGGACTCAGTTCCAGCACAAAATATTCTTCGAGAAGCGTCTCCTAGCGGCGGCTCTCTGGATAGACCATTCTCAATGCTGGATTTCTCTATGGCTCTTCTTTCATCGAACAACTCCTCACCGGGAAGCGATATGATTAAATTCAATCTTCTGAAAAATCTCCCAGATATCGCTAAAAGACGCTTGCTAGATTTATTCAATTCCTTGCTAGAAAACAACATTGTACCGCCTGAATGGAGACAGGTCAAAGTAATAGCCATTAAAAAACCTGGCAAATCAGCGTCTGACCATAACTCATACCGTCCGATTGCTATGCTTTCGTGCATTAGGAAATTGTTGGAGAAAATGATCCTTCGGAGACTCGATCACTGGGTCGAATCAAATAACTTGCTATCAAATACACAGTTTGGGTTCCGCAAGAGCAAAGGAACAAACGATTGTCTAGCGCTGCTTTCCACAGATATTCAACTGGCCTTTGCGCACAAGGAGCAATTGGCTTCAGTATTCTTGGACATTAAGGGGGCTTTTGATTCAGTTTCCATTGAAATTCTGTCAGACAATCTGCACAGATGTGGACTTTCCGGAATTTTAAATAATTTCTTGTACAATTTGTTGACAGAAAAGCAAATGAACTTTTCCCTTGGACAACTGACAACTTCCAGAATTAGCTGCATGGGCCTGCCCCAAGGCTCATGTCTCAGCCCTCTTCTTTATAACTTTTATGTCAAAGATATCGACAACTGTTTGGCAGAACAATGCACGCTAAGACAACTTGCAGATGACGGTGTGGTTTCCGTAAGAGGTCCACATGCCGTGGACTTGCAAGGACCATTGCAAAATTCCTTAGATAACTTGTCTTCTTGGGCTATGAATCTAGGGATCGAATTCTCGCCGCAGAAAACTGAACTGGTAGTGTTTACTCGAAAGCGGTACCCAGCCCAAATGCAGCTTAATCTTTTGGGCAGAAACATTACCCAATCATTGTCTTTCAAGTACCTTGGGGTCT